AGCTCCATATTGTTCGTTCTATATCTAAAATGTTCATGTAATTGCTTATTAATATAGTTAATACTTACATTTTAATTTGAACAGGTTAATAATCATCGTTTCAAATCGGACAGTTTGACTTTCTCAATCTGTACCTGTAATATAAAACAAAGATAATGCTTGTTATAGACGGTAATTTTCGCAAAATTTGTTCAATAAAACAAGCTAAAATTTTAGTAGAAAACAGACACGATGACGAGAAGTTGAGAACACGTAGACTGGATCAAGCGTTTTAACTTCTCCCATCCTCGTGAATGTGAATCAAATAAGACACAAAATGGACTTGTACCTGTTCATTTTAGCAACTATTGCAGACGAGCAGCTTTGGACTTGCTGTCTCCTTAAACGCGAATCATCTCGGGCAATATCAGCCGTTATCGATGGCGAATTTCTTGCCCATATAGCATTTTTGTTAGTTTGACTTTAGCTCTAAAACTCGACCTGAAAAGAATAGAAGGCAATATTAGCATCTGTTAAGTCTAAGAACTTATTTGAAAAATATCATTTGCTCTAAATTGAAGCGAAGGTTATATGGCTATAGCGCTATAGGATGCAGCTAGACCGCGCGACATCAAAACTTCCGTAAATTCACAGATTTTATCGCGCGTATATTACCTTTTTCATTTCACCAATAAGCTCCGAGAAAAAGCTAGTCGTGCCCTCTCTTCAAAGGCGAGTTATCTAGAGCCATTTTAACCAGAATTTATCGATCATCGTTCTCTTGTTCACAATTGCACCGTCAAGCTTGCATGGGCCTTGGCTTTAATTCGTCTGAATCCTGTGTGAAATGAATAAATAGTAACATGAGTTTTATAAGAAGAATTTCAAAGCGAACACGGGTGAAATAGGCGGCCACGTGGCAGAAACACTCGCCTAAATCTCTCACTAAAGCAAGCAGTTAATCGTAAATAAAAGGGGCATATTACCTGTTCTTACACCGGCCAACGTTAGCGACAGGGCGAAAGAGATATTCAACTTCTCTTCTGTAGAAAGACACGAGCATTGAAAACAATTTCCGTCGAAATTTTCGAGCATAAAATTGACTTGTCTGCATGCTTTGAAGACCATTGCCAAATGACGCCTCAAATAGGGTAATTGGTATATAGATGAGTATATACATATGTATAGATTAAAACTAGCCCAACATTGTTTTGTTGGTTTAAACATGCAAAGAAAACAAAGACTATGTTAATTTAGCTTATTGATATCAAGTAATCTACCAGTAATCTTGCCTCAAATTTAAATTAGAGCTGAATATTCTATTTTACTAGCTCTAAGTGATGAAAAAAAAAGCAATGCTATTGGCTAAGACACCAGTATACTGATAGCTCAACAATGCTCCCGATTGCATGGTAATGTTATACAGGATGTATAAAAAAGAAGACCTTTAGAAATTAATCTATTGTTATAATTTAACTAAACACCCCAATGCTAAGCCTATGGTGTGTAAAATATTGCACGATTCAACGTTTCTATGCATGGTTCTAGGTTCTATGGTTCTACATAAAGTCGTGAAAAAAAGTCGCGAAAAAAAGTCACGAAAAAATCTGAGTCGCGAAAACCATAAAACCTAGAACCATATAACCTACGCCATTGAATTACATAGCATTATACTATTATACTGCCCTTATAATTGTACAGTTCATATTTAATTAAATATTTTGTGACTCAAAACATGAAATCATAACCTACATTTTGGCAATCGACTTATCGCTCCAGTTGACATGCATGGAGTTCGTTTTTTCTGTCTGATATGCACGACGTCATAACTATGGTAAGTTTTTTTTCTTGACACTAAATTTCCGAGCTAGCATAGTGCTAATTCCAGACGGGGTATTTCAACCTGACGATGCTAAATTAAAACATTAATGTGCAATTTTGTGGCTCTTAAGTTTTGCGTGGGCTTGTTAGTTGTCAATTTTAAAACGTCAACCCTGTTTGTGACGTCGATCGCGTACTGATAACTCATTATGAAACGAGATGACAGATAGCAGCTGTTTTTACTCGCGAATATCAGTTGGGAAGTTCACAAGAGAAAAAATATGTGTAAAGTAAATTTGTAGCAGATGTCATCTTTCTTTTTAACTGCGAGACAAAAGCAATTTCCTTTGCATATTGCTTCAATGAATGCGTTTCGCTCAAGTGATTCCAAAACCTTGTTTAGAAATTTCGGACCAACGCAATTATGGGTACGCCAAAGTGCAACCAGATCAACTTTTCTATATTTCTAAATGCAACCAGATCAACTTTTCTAAGATTTGTCAACTTTGCTTGCGCATATAGACCCAAACAGCTCGAGATTGAATCAAATCACTTCCTGCATGCTAACAAAAGCAGCAAGAATAATATTCTTGTAAGTTTGCATGGTGTCATCAAATAAGTAAAGTAGCTGGGACGTACACCACGTAAGTGTTTAATACTGCAAAGCTTTCGGTCGGTTACGTGATACTTACCTGGTGTAAATGTAAATAGGTAGGGCGGCGGGCTACACAAAATTTTCTTCGAAGACAATCAGTCCGAAATGTCCTAAATAATTGAAATTTGAAAAACATTTGAAATTACTTAAAGCCCTGTTACACGGTGCAATTTTTCTTGCAACTTGCAATGCAATTCTACTTCTAAGAGATGGAAATTAGTGACTGCAGAGTCTTGCAGAAGAAAAGTGCATGAGGTGTAATAAACAAGTTTCGTCGTTCCCAAATACATTACATTGCAAGTTGCAAGGAAAATCCAGCGTACCGTATAACATGGCCTTTACTTTCATCAAAGCGAGCATTCCACGTAATAAAACTTTGCCTTGAACCGGCAACTTATATTGTGCTTCCGAACCGAGTGCCGCATTAACCTCAGGGCCCAAGAGGCCCAGAATTTCGAGTTTGACAATGATAGCGAATATCAAAAGTTGAAACACAACTTCCCCTCTCCAACAAATGCAATTGCTATAAAGCCTTATCTTCCAGACTACTGACTACTTTACGTCTTTTAATCTTGTAAATTTACTTCAAATTGTTACAGTGCATGTGTGCATGTGCACTTCTTAAAGTTTCCTTTGAATTTAATAAGAGTTCATGAATGATTAATCTCATTTTATCTTTACCTCGTGAACCATTTTTGAGATAATTTTATATCACTTAAATGATCTGGAATCGCTACCTCCAAAATACTCTGTTAAAATCAGATGATCACCCAGGTCAGACATCGAGAACAGAGGGGCCCCATACTCATGCAGCAAGTGCTAAAAAAGTTAATGCTGCACTGCTTCCAAATGCTTTCAGTTTTCAGTTTCACTTTTGGCCAAAAAGCGAGAAAAAGTATTTTGTATTCACAACCAGCTGATTATGACTTTGTGACGCCCCCCTTTAAAGTGGGCGTTAATATGCGCCTGGAGTCATCCATAAGTGATTTGTCCCGATTCTTCCTATTATTAATATTAACACTATCAAAGGCCCAAAAGTTACAATCGACTGAAAAACGAACGTGTTTCGGAATAGAAATTAAACAATTTTAAAGAATTATTGAGGATGAACTTTGGGCTTGAAAATATAGATATAAAAGTGCCGTTAATTAATGTGAAATAGAAAACACAGTTGCATTGGCTTTCTTGCGTGGTAACCAGTAAATAAAAAAGTTCCATTTTAGATGGGTTTAGTGAATTTGAGGTATTACGGACATGCACGTGATTAAGCTACAGAGAAATATAGAAGACAAAAGAGAAATATAATAAAAGACTGTCGTGCCACACCAAAACTAGACGTATTATATATCTATATATAGTTATAATGTGCACTGCACAGAGACACATACGTAGTTATATTAGACACGGTATATTCAGTGGCGTAACTAGAACGATAATTGGGGGGGTGAATATTCATATATCCAGTTCTGCCCTACGGATTTCTTTTGTAATTGCAATAGCTTACAATAGAAATCCGTCGGGCAGAACTGAATATATGAATATTCACCCCCCCAATTATCGCTCTAGTTACGCCCCTGGGTATATTGATATGTTTGCCGCTGCAGGTGTATATTACAGTTAGCCACAAAAAAGTTCCGAAAAATTGAATCAAGGTAAGAAACGATACGGGTTGTGTTCAATGTTGTTCAATGTTACTATATTGTATTTAATGCGAGCGCTCTTTTATGTACACGCGGATGTACAAAAATAAAAAAAATTGCTTCATTTCGACATTACGACATATTGTGATCCGTAATGTATGGGCACATGGACACATTTCTTTTTTGGGTATTTTGGGACAGCTGTGTCTCCCAGTCTAAGATCAATAAGTCTATATAAGGTCGAAAAAGCCTAGTTGTCGCGACATTCCCATGTGTCCTGTTTATGTTTTCAAATTCAACCGAATGCAAAGTGCTTCAGTGCATGGAGGATGTTATGAATACAACTGTTTCACCACGGGCCTACTGCGATTCGCAGGAAGAAACACAACAGTTTAGTTATGCTGTAAAGTGATGTGTAGGCTGAGTTGTAGGCGTCATATCTGTTGATTGAAAACTATCTCTGTGCATGGCTTGGCGAGATTTTGATCAACATTCACGACCTCTCAGATAACACTCATTTTGATGAAAAGTTCCTTCTAGTTGATACGTCTCGTTTTTTCCCTAAACACTTGACAAAAATATGCAGAGCGAGCGATAAAGCGGATAAGATCGCTTAATACAAAAAATCATTTCTTCATTCGCTTTGTGGTATATAAACATGACGCTCATTTTTAAAGCTCTTATCCGTTCCGGATATCCATCATATCCTCGGGTCACTCGGATTGTAAGGAACCTAACGCGCGTGGCAGTTTAGCAAGCGCAGGCCTCTTGTCAAGAATCGGTTATCTCTTCTTCGCAGCCAGCGCGATGAACCAATCAGCGTGCTTCACTCATAAACACAGGAAGCGGAATATTGTAAAATAACCAAGCAACTGCAAGAAATATAATCTTGTACGTCAGCACGCTAATCTCGAGCGCAATCTCATTCGCGCAATGCAATGCGAATAAAACGCTTTGTGAAGACAAACATCAAACGTTTAGCAGTATAAAAACATTAACGTTACTCGATTGATAACCCGCTGGTGCGAAGAAAGAACTCCCGCCGAATTTTCGAATAAACATCACACAAAGACCGAGATTAATCAAGCAGCTGAATTCAAAGCTGTTGTCTCAGCCTTAGCGATTTTCTATGTTATGAGCAGAAGGAAGCGGTCACTATATGTCATTCACTTCTGATCGTTCAGTGTTTATTGTAGAAGATTTAAGAGGAATAAATTGTTGTCAGGTAAGCGCTTCCTTGTCTTCTCCATTCTTGACAATTTTGTCTTAAGTGTTTGCCCCGTTTCTCAGCGCTTTGTCTTTATAATACGGATTATCAAATCGCACAGTCAGTTGACACATGCGATGAAGAGCCACGTTCCATTGGGGGATTGTCAATAATTCTGACAGGTCAAGCTTCTAGCTCTTGAGTCTTGCCCTCCTGAGTCGAAAATACAGAAGCTTAGGCAAAGCACACTTGAACTGCTTGAATGCTGGTGCATAACACAGGAATTATAAACCAATTAGCACTCGCTTGAGGATTACAGCTGCCCGATAATCTATGCTGTTACCTTAATTTGATAAGAAAGAAAAAGAGACCGTTCTCATTTTAGACACAAGCATGTTAACTTGCTTGTGGGAAGAAGCTTGGCCGACTCCATTCGATATACCCTTTATGTAAAGTGAAAAAGATTTTAATTTAAATGTTAAAATGTATTTCAGGAAATTAGTATCAGAGATGAACTTCACTACACCGAACCCGAATTTCTCAGATACATTCGACGTTTCAATTTCCCGCGAACAATTGGGATCAGTTGTACTTCAGATGTGCTTGTTCTGCCTCATCGCAGTCATTGGTTTCGTTGCAAATGTCCTGGTTCTTATGGCTGCCTCACAACTTCGTAAACACCGGACGCATCGTAACACAAGAAGCACCTATTACATCATAAACTTAGCAATCGCAGACTTGGCAATTATTTTACTTGCGCTCCCAACGGAGATGGTGAAACACTTCACGTCCTGGCCGTTCGGAGAGTTTTCGTGCAAGTTCCTATACCCGCTACGAGATGTGTTCGTGTTTGTCGCCATAATGACAGTGACCGGACTCAGTATTGAGCGTTATTGGGTCATCACCGGACCATTTAAGACGAAGCCGAACCCAAAACACGCGCGCGTTATCATTGTTAGCATATGGGTCGTTGGCTACTTATTAGCCGGTCTACCGATGGTTTTTGTTATGAAGCTGATCAGCGAGTCACCTGATGGTCGTATAATTATGTGTGATCCGAGTTGGGGCAGTTATACGGAGGAGAAAGTACACGTCCTTTTGAGCATAGCATGCATAATTTTGCCCGCGTGTGTCATAACATTCTGTTACATACGAATCGCCAAATCGCTGCAACGTTTACAGGCACGTCGTACGAGTTTCGTAAGCGGCGAAGCCGAAGGAAAGCCGACGTCTTCGGTAATTTCTCTGGTGGAACAGAGCAAGAAGGTTGCCAAAATGCTAGTCATAATTGTACTCGCATTTTGCTGTTGCGTTCTACCGTTCACAACATTCGCCGTAGCGGCGCAGTTTGGGGAGCTCCAAGGGGATAATTTTCTCATCTACGCGCTGCTTATTTCGTTGTTTTTCGCACATAGCGCGGTGAATCCCATCATTTTGATAATCATGAGCAAGGAGTATCGTTTGGAAGTTGTGCGAATTGTGCGCGCCTTGCGAGACGTCTGCTGGAAGGCAGAGGCGGTTCGCACTTATTTCACACATCTTAACCTGAGGAACGACTATCGCCAGCATCGAAAAGAAAGCGAAAATCGTGCTCAATTGGTCGAAGCCCCGGTTGCAGAAGGTGAACAGCAAAGAAGTACGGAACTGTAAATATATCTATGCATAAAGACTGTTGTTGTTCCACCGACATATCGTTGCATGATTGCCTTAGGCCTGCCCCAAAACGTCGTTCTTTCATTTGGCAAACCCGCGAAAAACAGTAGATATCGATTCAGATGCTTTATTACTGTTGTTTAAATTCGTGTCGTTCGCAAGAAGTACGACGTTTGGAACAGGCATTATATCGTAGACAACAATATACTATATGTATATAACTTCAAGTACTCTATTCTACGTGGGCACTGGCAACAAGATGACTTTTAAATCGAGTAACTGCATGAGCTCGAGAGATGTCGAAAACTCACGTAATATAGTTTCGAGAAATTGTACGATTGATAATCGCGAAACACATGTTTGCGCTCATTTCTAAAGCGAGCCAAAAAAAGTTCCTCTCCGCATGCAGTGGGCAAATATGCTCGAGTATAATAACAAATTGAGTGAATTGTCGGTTTAAACCTTATTTGGTTTCGTTACATAAGTGGTCAATTGAGATATTTAACAAGAATGCAGCATATTTGAAGCCGGTACAGGTAAATGCATGAAATAAAACCTATCGATTTCTTCGAAACAGAACGGGTTCTCTTGCTTCTAGGAAATTTGTGACGTTACATTTACATACGAGGCAGGAATCGCAGTCCTCCGAAAATGTTTATTCTTCTGGTGTCACCGAAAAATCAAGTTAATGAATTTTAATTCGGTATACTTTTGAATTGAATAAGTCGAGCCGACCCTTGCTGTTTTAATCCATCTTAACGCAAATATAACATTGCGCCGTTCGCAGTTAGTTGCCTCTAACGTATATTAAAATACCCGGCACACTACTCGCAACTGTATTCTTTTATATTAACGTCATAAATTTTTTATTCGGAGAACTCGGAGGGAGAAATTTAATTTTCCTCAATTACGGTTGCTTATGTATTATGCTCGACTGTTTGAATTGACTATGCAGTATGACAACGCACTTATAAGCTCACAATAAAAAATGCACAAATTTAATCTTGATCTCGTTTATGTATCAATAACTGCGGTAGGACGCAATTTCACCGCAACATACATTTAGAGATTGATACGGAATGAGCGAAAATCTATTTTTTCCACAAAAGTTTGTGATTTGAACGAAGGAACGAAATAACAGGTGATATCCTACGGCTACGTCGCATGCGATTATATTCACAGTTGCGCGTAAAGGCAAAAAAATCACGAGATCAGGCATATTTAGATAACGTTACATGTTTCATAAATGGCAATATTGCATAAGCATATCATGGGCTGCCCAGATGGAAAGATAATAATTGGCGACGTTTTCACAAATGCGCGCCTGCTATAAGTGAAACCGCGCTACGGCCTTAGCACTGTATTTGTCGGCGGCGATTACATGTATAGCGGAATATTGTTGTAATATATTTATATATTTTATGCATGCCTGTTGAAAATAGTATATATACTTTGGCATGTCGTTGACACGTTCTCAATAGCCTAGACATACTATACGTTGATAGCCTAAATATATTATGTATAAAGTCTTTGGGGTAATAAAGCTCGTTACAAAATTCCCCACAACTTCGTCACAAAATTCCCACGATTTCACATGTCAAAATGTCTTTTCACATGTGAAGTATTTCAAGTCTATATTACCAGTATATTTTTGTACGGGAGAACCCACGCGACGCTGCCACCGACGTCTCCATGTGTATAGGCTACATGTGGTCTGAGAATCACCGCTGGCCCTTCGTCGGTTCTATTATACTCCGATCGTGAGTATAAAAACAGCTATGTTTGAAGTTTTATTTTGATGTCCATGGAGTCAGGGGCGGACTGACTATACCTCAGAGGGGCGCTACTATCTCGACAAGAAATAAAAAGGGGGAATGCACTACCCGCTAATTACTTTATCTCATCCAACAGTCGTACACATTTTAATTTAATAATATAGTGTTATACTGAAATATCAGTGGTGAAATGAAATTTTCACACAAATGACTGGAAAAATAATTGTCAATGAATGCTGTTTCGAGGCTAGAAATGTAAAAAATATGAAAAATACTTTGACAGATTATTGCGACATTTAAAAGCCACGAATCAGCATATACTCCGATTTTTTTTTAAATACTCATCTCGAAACGCAGTTATGCGATAAATGGCACGCACTTCCCTGTGGCATTCGGTAGAAATTAAACTTTTACCAACACAAGCATCGTTAAAAGCCACTGATAGAGTTTTAAGTAGGGAGCCACAAATTGACGAGCTTTCTCCTGTGAGTTATACAGTGTGCAGTGTTTTTATATATTTTAGGAAACAATTTTGTAAATAAATCTGCATTCTATAAAATATAGTTCCAGTATATTCAGATGAATGCGATTACGTTGAATGCATGGCACTTTGCGATAGATTTTCGTTTTATTTTACCTGGATTAGTCTAAAAATTGCACCTGCTAAAAAGCGCACAGTGACATTTGCGTCAGTTGTTTGATAGTTTCCGTGGTAATTCTGATAAAATACACGACCACTCGTTGATATCGATGAATTTTTTTAATGTTGTTCCAAACATCGATTATTGCATTGATATCGACGAGCATTTCGAACTGCATGATGCTTTTCTATAATGGAGAATACTTGGTTAAAAGCGTTTGTTTTTCTTAAATATATATACCATGCAGAGACCCCTGCATGCGACGTCGACTGCGAAGTTTTAGGCTATAACGCCCAACAATATACAGACTTGCGATCATGCATGGAAACATGTCAAAAATTGCTTAGAAATCAAGCTGAAAAGTTTAAACTCTATTCTGCTATAAACTATTTTCTAAAACTCCTCGTTCACATTGAGCACCATGCACACAACAAAAGAAACGCTTTATATTCATGCAGAGATCTTAAAGAGAATATAGGACGCAGACGTGCAAAATATTGACTGTCAAATATTCAAGAATTCTGTAATAAAAAACACGCCTCCGCTAACGTAATTTGAACAGAAGCCTTGAACTCGCTCTTTTTTAAAGCTTTTGATTAAAAAGTTAAGCATGTTTTTCTTCAAAGGTATTATTATAGCTCAACGTGCATGAATTAACTCCAGCTCGCTAAGTTTTCCGTATTCATGCAATAAAATATATAGAACTATACTTGGTTCTACGATCCATAATACACCTGCATGCTTTGTTATATTTCCTATTTGAGCATTGTTATACATTAGGAGGCATTATAGGAAGCATTGTTATACATTAGGAATTGTTTGTTAAAAAAATCGTGCACGCGCTTTCTGTCTCATAATCCTGTTGTTGTTAACGCTATCATCAGAAATACTGTGGTTTTTCTGGCGATTTTAGCGGCTATATAGCTCAAGGCAATGTAAAAAAAACAAGCATAATGTAATATAAACATGCATGTATTTATGCCTTATGGCTATATACAACACGTAAATGGGCTTCCGAATTCAGATATATAAAAAAAAGAAATTGTGCATCTGCCGAGTCAAACAAACAGTTTACATAATACTTTTGATGCTGAACGCAGTAAAGTTATTAGTCCGACAGAATAAAAAAAACTTATTCCTAATGTAGTAAATCTTTCCTATAAGGTTGGGATTATTCTGCAGTGTATATGTTTTACCTTGTGCTTATAATGCTACAGGCATGCAGCTATAGAGGTAATACCGCGTTCACGCAGGATTTCTTTGCATGAAATATTTATCAGTATAGCAACCTTACGTATTCATCACAGCAGAGACCATTGAAGATTCAGTTCAAAGTCAGTTTTAAAAGCCGGTTAATAATAAAATCAAATCAAATCATGCCGGCACTAGCTGAAAGTTATACGCGAAAGAGATCCAGGAATTTTTATCTAAACTTTGAACCATTAGTTCTTCATCGCTCTTTGCTTTCAATATATAGTGAATTGAAGCCAATAAGAAGACTGCAAAGTTTTCATAAGTTTTCATATTTAATCATTTTTTCGCATTACCGTTCTGTGGTCAGGCGTCCATTTAAAGCAAAAGATTGCGCGTTATTGATACAGAAAGCCATGCAGGATGACGTCCGCGCCCATAACGTCCCCGGTCGTGTAACAATTAACAAAGAACGAAATACCAGGTGATTTCATTGCTTGCCCGTCATGCACATAATTATACGCGCGCACGAAGGCGATAAAAGTAGGTGAGAAGTCGCGAGCATATCATGTCAATATTAAAAATTCCTGTTTCAAAAATGGCATATTGCAATATTGTATCAAGCTTCGCCGTATCATGGCTGCCCACATGACATGATAGTAATTGGCATGTGTTCGCAAGTACACGCAAGCTATAATTAAAAACATTTTATTACGATATATTTCTTAAAATTTGCTCCTCAATTTCTCCGTTTTTATGATCGTGCGTCAATTCTTCATATTTTTTTTCACGTACCGTTTGCTTGGCAGGTTTTATACCATAAAGATTTTTCAATAAAGTTTCATGAGAAATGAATGAAATATTAGCTCACGCTAGCATCGTATCAAAATTTGTTCCTGTGTGGAAATGAAGGTTCCTATATGTAAATATTTCATAAACCATACAACCTACGTTAATAAAAATTCGGCTCAGTTGTGTGTGTCCTGAGTATGCCTGTCACTCTAAGCCGGACACCTTCCCTTTAATGAATCCCCGACAAATGATAGCAAGTCAAGCGATAAAATCACATTGGATTTCTAGAAACATCCTGCACTTACAAAAGCCTTTTTTAATTTTCACCCTATATACTAAGGGCCTGTTTACATGGAGCGAGTTATCCCGCGGCTAGGCGAGGTAAAAAAGCTGTCTTTCATTATATGCTGTTTTCACCTCGCCTAGCCGGATAGCTCGCTCCATCTGAACAGGCCCTAAATTTTATCGGTGGAAATCGGTGGAAGCTAGATTACTATATAAGAGTATGACGAATGGGGGTTTAGGCGACGTTTCACAAAATTGTGCAATGATGTACCGCTTTCATGTATGCTTTTCGCTTTTTCCCATGCTTAGTTTAATAAATACACTTTTCAAATCAGACTACGATGTTCACACGAGACCGGATGAATTCGCTTAACCGCATCGTATTCACCAGCTGACATATGTGTTCTGTTTGAACTTGAACGATCGTGGTATCGGAAAATTTAATTAAAAGAAAACACTGTCAGTCGCTGAGTTTTGAATTCCGGCGTCGCATGTTAATGGCCTGGCTAAAATTCTCGCCTGCCCATGCCCATACCTTCAAATTATCTTCGGAACTATATTACACAATTCTCATAATTGAATTTGAGCCTCGTTGAGGTGAGGTGAACATATGCACGTTGTTTTCTAGATTTCGGCTATGGCAACAGATTGGCGATTGCCATATCAAGATTACACAATTTCCTATGTACGTACGCTGGATCCTATCAGTATCAAGCGAAACTCATTACACTACAGATTGATTATATAAAAGCCAAATTGCAAAGGTCTTATCAGTTTAATTAAGGTATTTTCTCGTTCGAGGGCGGTCGCAGTCTTTAAATTTGCCTTAGTGGTTTTGTGACTATTCCCTTGCAGGTTAATCCCGAAGTTAATGCGTAAATCACTGGTTACTGCACGGCTATATTCACTATAAAGCGTGCTTTTGAAGTTGTTCCACATTTTGATCCATTTTCACTTCTTTGTTGTCTATAAATAATGTATTATTAATTACGCAGCTGATGATGATGAGATATGACATGTGCAATCTCAATTATGCCAACATCCTAGCGATGGACTATCAAATCTTCATTAAGAAATTTGTTTTTGTTATTGAAGTTTTCGTCGCTCTTGTATGGTAATTTTTCACGCGATCACGAGAAATTGCTGTTTGCTTATTATGCATTATCTCAGTAATGAGTCTTAACTCCCTTTTTCATGCAGGCTACCTTTTTCGCAGCTACAATGCTTTCAATATGCGACTGTGAATCTGGTGCACTGCTAGACGGTGCATGCCCTTGATTTTTAACAATTTAATTGATCTGAGTTGACAGGTTGCTGGGATCGTGGAAATGCTAGCTGTAAATATGATCCATATATTCATATCAATATATATTCATATCAATATATACAACTACACGAATATAATGTGAATAAACCTACATTTTCCCAACTTTATCGAAATGTAACAAGGGGACTCCCCGCGCTGTATATGAATATCGGCCAAAAAAGGTCAAAATGAAAATGGCTAGCTTCTCTGTGGTAAAAAAACTACGAAGAAAAAATTGAGCCCTACTGACACAACTTAAATGTTTAACAAGGGGGGAGGGGGGCGGAGGTAAACTCTCCCTCAAGCTCTTCTATTGCATTGTTTGATTATTTCCTTCAGGGTTCATTTTTGGCAGTTGAACAGCCTAAATTCTGCCGGGAAAATATTGGAACTGCTGATAGAGAGTGTGCAGTTATTACTCATTAGCCTTCCATGCTCGTACGGAACTACGGAAGTGGTGCCCCCGCACAATAAAGCTCTGTTTGACCACAGATATTCTCACGTGAGAACTGGTACATTCACCATCATTATTATATCATCACGACTCAGATATCGTAATTAAAGATTTTCAAATTCACCTCGATATTAAGTTGCAATGCAATTTAATATCTGTGCGATGTTCATGCCCATGCTTGGTGAAATGATACAGAGTACCTCCATCTTAAGCGGCTTTACTTAAATTAAACAAACACTC